TGCTCTATTAGAGCCTTTTTCTTAGTCAGGCCAAGGGGAGTTATGGGAGTGATGCAAGAAGTGATGTCCATGCTTGGGGATGCAGGAAGGAGGGGAAACCGAGATAAATTAAAAATAAAAAGAGAGAGGCACTGGCACAGCAACAGAGAAAAGGCAAAGTGAGACAAAGTCAAATGGAACCTGAGAGAAATGTCAACGCAAGGAAGAGAAAACGAAGGCTGAGAGATAGAAAAAAGGAAAAAGGTGAAAAAAAACACCCAACATGTAATGGAAATGGCGCTCATAATATTTCTGGAATAAGATTTGTGTTTTTTTCCAGGCTGCCGAGTCCCAGAGGTGTGACAGAAAAAAGAGCTGACAGATGATAACCCATCCTGTGTAGCTTATGGTGGAGTAAAACAGGTGTAGATTTTTATTGCTTCCAATGGACACATTTTATTTTTAGAATTAGTGGTCTTGTTTTTGATATAGCACCTGCTTACACATGCATATTTTACCCTTTCAAATGCGACCGGGCTCTTACTCGCTCCACTGTTTTCATTCCCCAGTCCTGCCTTAATCAAAATTCTTGCCCGCAAAAATGTAATTTTTACAGTCTTTGAATGTCTTGCAAAAACTGCTCATAAATGCAGGCCAGCTGACTCTCATGCACTTTTTCTGAGTAAAAGAAAGAGTAAAACAAAGAAACAGTCTTGGGAAGGAATACATTATATAATTTGCTTCTCATTTCTCTCTGCAGAATCAATGTTGAAATAGTGCTGGTTATGTATGACCTGAGCTGCAAGGTGAAAAGTATGTAGGCATATATATATATATTCAGATTAAACTTATTTTTCTAATGTAAAAGCAATATATGACCTAGAATAATAAAGGTGTTCTAAGAATAAAGATAGTTTATGCAGTACTTGTATCTTATATTCATAATGGAGAAGGTGAAAAGATTGAATCATGCTTTTTTAAGAAATTATGATGTTTCAGATTATAAATGATTATTAAAAGATTATAAAAGTTTTTTAGAGCATTGGATGGCTGGTAATGCATTCTTCATTTAGCTCTCAACATGCTTGGACATAAGATGGAGGTCAGAGGTTGACCTCAATCATGTAACGGGGCCATTCTTTGGTGCTTGTAGGAGTTTATTTCCTTGCAGCAGCCTGATAAATTTCTGCCCACACAGAACAATAAGCGCAGCTTGTTAAATGTTTTGAAGTACCCACATCTGATGCCCAATTCACACTTTACTAGAAGCGTTTTAGATAATTTCATGTTCCAAAAGCAAGGAAAACCTTTTTTTTTCTCCTCACACTGCTGCATCTTTTGTTGAGTTTTGCTTGAAATTGTTTATTTTAGCCCTTACCTCTTTGAGGATATCTCCAAAGGTGCAGGGTACATATAATATGTTTGCCAAACCATCTTGAAAAGAATCTTTTAGAAAAATGTATTATGCAATAGTCATGTGAATAACACAAACCCAGGCCTTTGGGAGCAACATCAGTTTATTGTGTGAAGCAAATATCCTCCATTTCCATAGTTAAAACACATTATAGAGATTCTTGCCATGTAAACATTTTAAAATCTTTTAAAACTATTATGTTTTTTTCACATTACAAACAAAACCTTCAATTTTTTAAACATGATTTTTTAATTGACCAATCGCAAAGGGCATCATAGCTGTGAAGTGGAAAGTAACAGATCAATGGTTTTAAAGTTTTTTGATCGACTGAATACTCAAAACCAAAGCATCCATTTGTATTGATTCTCTGTTGTATTGATTCACTGATTCTCTGTTTCAAACTCTCCAAAGCAAAACTCAGTGCGTCCAACTGCCTTAAGACATCACCAATTAGTAATTTGGACACAATTTACTAACTGCATGCAGTTTATTTTTATTCTAAATCCATCTCTTACTTGAAAACAGCAGAAGTTTGTTAAAGACCATTTGTAAACAAGCATCATAGTAAATGGCTTGTTCTGGAGCCGTGCATTTCAAGTCCAAGCAACACCAAACTACTTCAGACCAGATTCAGTCATTCACCATTCTCACTCTGATGCTGATAAGCTACAGTGTAGCCACAGCTGCCCCGGGGCACACTGTTAGAAGCAAGGCTGCCATACAATTGGTGTGACTGGGCCCTGGGGCCATCAACATCAGGGAGTGCAGGTGAACTTGTTGCAAGGTTACTACTGGGGCAATTGGAGCAGGGACTTAAACTTGCAAAAAAACAAACCAAAAAAACTAAGCACTGGATAAGTGATAAAGATTTGGAGGAGTTTAAAGCAGGGTTTACTCATTAAAAATCTTACATCCATTTTCCAAAGATTAATGCCATAATGCACAATTGTAGAGCAACCAAGACATGGCCTCTTTAATCAAAATATTAATCTAAGAAGCAGCATTGAAAGCATTGTTACCTAGGAGGAGCTGCAGCGCTCCAATTCTGGGTTGGGGCAGGGAAAATATTCAGAACAGATACTATTAACGTCTTATATAAAAGTTGCTTTTTTTGAAGTGCATTAAGAAACTGCACTTAACAAAGTAAAGGAACTCATGTTTACAGTTTGCCTTACAAAGCACAGCAAACAAGCAGAAGAAGGTTCTCCAATTAGATTAGATAGAATAGGTAAAGATAAAGGACAGCTAATAGCTGTGCATTCCGCAAACAGGTGACAAAACATATGTACAGTATGGCATAAAAAATACCCTGTGTGTCACAATGATATCACTACCCTCACCTTGAAATTTGGGGTTGACAGCATCATGTTGTGTGGATGTTTTTCTTCAGCAGCGACATTAAAACAAGATAATATTTCTGCAAAAGGGCAGGGACTTCAGGAAGACATCATCTTCCAGCCAGACAATGACCTTAAAGGTACAGCCAGAGCATTGGATGATTTAGATCAAAGGAAACAGTGTGTTAGAGTAGCAAAGTCTAAAACCAGAGTTAAATCAAATTGATAAGCAGTAAAAAAACATGTTCATCCTCCAAACTAACAGATTGATTCTTTTCTAGAGAAGAACTGGCAACATTTTTAGCCTGTAGATATGCTAGTACAGAGAGCGGGACAACACAACTTAGTAAACTTACAACTATAATTGCATCGAAAACTAGTTCTACAAAATATAATCCAGATAGTTAAAAACCAAAGGGTCAGATTTTTCAGATTTTTTTATTTTAGAAATAAAAGAACCCCCTTAAATCATGTATTATGTTTTTTTAGTTAATAATGTGTTTGCAGTGATTTTCTTGGCCATAAAATCCAGATTAAAATACAGGAAACACTGTGATTGTTGACCAGACTGCTCTATATCCTCTTCTTGTTCATTATAGAATGCTCAGGCTCTGGCTGCTGATGTGCTGGCTATATTTTATAGGCTTACTAACAGTATCTGATTTAACAGCACCACTTTATTCATTAGAAAGGAGCAGACAGATATATCTTAGTGGCAAACTGCTTCAGCCCTTAGACATAAACCAAACGTGAAAGCGGGACAGAAAAGTGACCTAACAGGTTCAGAGCATGGCATGGTTATTTCCATCACCTGAGGAATGTCTCACCATGGGGCTTATCACACACAGCGGGGTCTAAGCTTTACTAAGAATTGAACTACAGAAAAAAAAATCGACTCAGCTGCTTTCCTGACTCCTGTATAGGGCAGGGGTGAAAAAAGACAGAATGGCATGTGATAAATTTAGGGTTAAAAAAAAAAAAATTCAATTTAATGCTAGCTTGTGCGACAGTGGAAACCATACAAGAATATGACTGACTCAGCCAAGATCAATATCAGATTGTTTGACAGAACTCTGCTATTTAACCCTTTTTTTATCTTGTAGAATGTTCTCAAGACCTACTGCTACTTCCTAAAGCAATGAATATATATAACAGCACATTGAATTTTTACTTAATCCTATTGCAACACAGAAAAATGATGGCTTCTTCTGAAAAACAGAGCGAGTGTAAATATTGTGTATAATGTTTTAAAATGAGCTGATCAACTGGTAAGCACTTGGGTTTTTGATTTATTAAAGCTCTATTAAATTTGTGAGCGTGCACGTTTAAGCCAAGGTTGGTATGTATGAATGAGGCTAGAAGGTGAAACAGCACTTTTTCCATTGAGCCAATGTGCATTCATAAATCTCAAAATCTATTTTCTTACAAAAATCGTGAGTAGAACTCAGCTTTTGTCAACGAGGTGGCCTATAAAACAACTAAGTTTACCAGAGTTCTGATCCAACATTTCAACAAAGATAAAAAAAAAAAAAAACACTTGTTGATGGATACCAAATACATTTGAAATCATGCAGTTTAAATGTAATGCTACCAAGAAATAAGTGCAACTATGATCTTTGCAAGGCCTCTCTATCAACTTCCATTAATCTCTAACCCATTTATATAGCCTAACCTTGACCCTTCCCCAAAATCTAATCAAAACGATTTCATAACAAACCCTAACTCCATCCAAACTCAACTTACACATTTGTGCTACATGTAACCCCAGGTCCCAAAACAGCAATTGCCCTCTTGGGGTCCTGGCCAAGGGAGCATTTGGACCCCACAACGTGCTATTTTTCCAGGTAATAAGGCCCCGCAGTGTATCAAAACTAGAACACACACATTGCCTTCGTTGAATAATCTATTTTTGGTATACTTAACACTACAATGACGTGTTAAGTCTGAGTCTAAAAAAATGTTGGTTTTAAAACTAAATCTCAAATGCTTTTAAACGATGTTTTGAAGCAAATTCTTCACGAACGTTTTTGTTGGTTTGGCATAAAAAGCTGCTATTTCACTGTTTTAGGTATATCCTACCTGATTTTGACAGTCGATAAAAGCAGATTTAAAACGGGAAAAAAAGAGAAGAAACATCGTTTTGCTGGATTACGTTAAACAGGAATGAAAAGAAACACGGGGTTTAATGTGTGTGTGTGTTTTTTTTTTTTTTACTCATCCGACTAAGTTGTTGGAGGCGGTTCCTTCCATAGACGCTAGGAGCTGTCTGTGGTGCTGAACTGCCTCTCCTCGCTCCAGCCTTCTCTCTGTGCCGACAGCTCCCACAGCCAGGAATCCGCTTACCGCGCGTCCAAATTAAAAACGGGACCTCCGCGATCCACTTGATCATTCCGACCCTTTTCACTCAGCGAATTATTCCTGGAAGCAGAGCGATTTGTACCTCCTCTTCTTGCTCAGAATCATTTTTTCTCTTTCTTTCTCCGGTCACTGGAAGTACCACTGTTATTCTTTGTAACACACGGACGGTCGGTTTCTCATCGGGAAGAGCAAACCTCGACTTTCGCAGACATGTGCATGAGACGTTGCTGTCAGTTTAAGACTCTATTAGTGGTTTTGGCTCTCGCTGCTGTAATCTCTCAAATTCACGGAGAAGGTAAGAACTTGATTTCCCTGGACGCACTTTTGTGCTGATTGCTTCCTCTTTGTTGAACTACAAAATGCAATGACAACGCTCAGTGCTTACACCGGGGTATCGGGTGGCTTAAGTTTAGATCTACAAGTGAGAATGTTAAATGTATAATGAGACTTGCATTTACTGTCTTTAAAAAGTGAAAGTTAAATAAACAGACAAATCTGAACCTATAACTTGTATTATTTTAGTTGTTAAATTGAAATCATAGCGCTCTCTGAATGAGCCCATTAACAAGTTATAGATCCCATCACATCCTGCTGGAGGGGAGAATGAGTTCAGCACTTGGTTACATAACAGTAATACTGTTAATCACAAGTATGAAAACAACCCCGGGGGGAGAGGAGAACTTAATAAGACACTCACAAAGCAAACACAGTTATGGAACATATTACACCTAATGTGATAATTTACCTTCCCTTACATTTATGTGTTTATCTCTCCCCCTGAATTGTAGCATAAACAGTTAGGAACTGACTTGTTTTTGCCATTGAGGCTCCCTGTGACAGACGGTGCTCCTTAATAAGACTCTAATCCTCTGGAATTGCGGAAGATTATTGACCAAGCTGTTTGACACAGTTGAGTGGGAAGCGGCAACAGATTCGTCCACAGTAGTTTTGTCCTAATTATTTCCCAGTGGTGCGAGTCTGCATCCCCCTCTTCATCAGTAAAACTATACTTTTTTCTGACCATCTGTGTCTCAGCCTATAACCACAGTTTTGCCATTAACCCTTCTCAGGATTTACAGTATGTAGTATGACCAATAAGCACAAGCCACGTAGAAAGTAGAAAAAAAGACATAATTTACCTTTGAACTGAAAGTATA